CACGTGGTGTCGCAGAACGTGGTATCAGAACATGGCGCCACTAAGCCACCTAGCGCCGTCAGACGTGCCAAAACGTGGCGTCACTTGCTCACGTGGACACGATAGAACGTTGGCCTACGTTCCTAGGTTTCATATCATTTCATTATGGATTACTTTTGGGCACAAATGTCGGATCTAGTGGTGGGGTAGAAAATCTATCGGTTTCCGTTCTGACTGGAAACTTTGATCGAAAAACTAAGCCACCGAAATTCTATAACATACGTTTATTTAGTATTGGATTTCGGACCAGCAGAGTTATTTGGCTTGCCTTGAAGACTTTTGGGGCAGCTGCAGTTTGAGAAGCCCAGGTGGCCCCGGAAAGGGCACTGTAGGGTCCTTCTTGAAATCAAGCCAAAGGTCCCAAAATCAAAGTGTGCACCACAGCATGCCGACATCCGGGTCCTGGCCCTTGAAGGATGATGCCTTTACAAACCTCGGATGTTTGCTTTTTCTCCTGCACAGGCACAGTGGCACAGTGGCACAGTGGCACAGTGGCACAGTGGCACAGTGGCACAGTGGCACAGTGGCACAGTGGCACAGTGGCACAGGGCGGTGAGAAGCCTCAGCAGGGTTTCCTGGTCTGAACCAGACCCAGCATCAAGATCTTTGCATTTGCCCCAGAGGTTCGGGAAACAATGTTTGGCATTAGGTTTCTTACTGCGGTGCGATATGGCTCGCCTCGCCTTCGTCCGTCTCAAAAAGAAAGGCATCTCCAGCTGATTCTTGAGCTGATCGGCGTCGCTGCGATCAGCACGGCCACCTCTCATCAAATCATGCCTCCTGCTTTCGCAAAAATGTTAGAATGATGTCAATGTCGCATGACCCAAAACATGACGAGCTGAACAGGCAAAGCTCTATAGTCTATAGTGGCTAAAGAAGACTACGAAGGTGGTCGAGCCTACAGTCTTGATCCCAGGCAAGGGTGGCCAAGCGTTGCTAGAAAGCAGCTGAACAAATTCGTCAGATTCCGTCAGACCAGTCCACAGCGATCAAGAGAAACGTCATGCCGGGCCTGCTCACGCTCACGGCACACTGCCTCGCCGCACCTTCACCTTTCAGTAACGGCATTCCGCATCATGTCAAGTTGTCACCGTGCCGGCGAGAGCATGGCGGCTTGCCCCTTAGCTGCCATGAACCCTGCACAGTGAGGCCGCCACCAGTGGGGCGAGGTTGTCCCGCAAGTCCAGCGTCCAGCGTGGCTCGAATCCCACGGCGTGAGCTTCGACAGCAAACGTGTTTTTTCGAGGGAAGCGGTAGGGAAGTGCTCCTTAAAGTTCATACTGGCAAGGAAGAACACCAAAGATGAGGAGCAGTGGCACCTGAGAGCCACAGCCAGGAAGACAGCTTCAGCGAACAGATCTGGGACATATGAATGGAGCAATGGCAAGATCAAGATGCTTCGCCGGAAATGCCAAGGCCTGTGACGATGAGGGTCGGTGGACAACTTTTTGCCTACGTCTTGGATGCCCGAGTAGCAGTCCATCCCGCCTCCAGTAAGAGGACCAGCAGCCCTCTGACACAAATTGCAACTTTCTGCCCTGTGCGCCTCATCCGCAAGCTGGCCCGACGTGTCCTGAAATGGTATGGAGGACAAGGTGGCTTCCAAATACCAAGGTTTTCGAATTTCTCAAACCCCAAGTCCCCAAGTCCACCTTGGAATATCCGAAGCTTAAAAAAAGAATATACGAGTATCCCAGTAGCAACGCAGTCCCGCTGTTGTCCATCCTGACAGCCTCACTGTGGCGCATGCTCGCAGTATCTCATTGGCACTCATCGAAAAGCCTTTACCAAGTACTGCAGCTCACGCTCTCACGACCCCCAGGACAACTAATATCAACCAACGCAAGAGGCCAAAGCAAAGAAACTCCACTGCAGAGCGTGCAGCGAGTGCGCACCGCACCAAGGAATGGCCTGTCTCCTCAGACAGTTGACAGCAGCAGAAAGGAACACGAAGTAGGCACGAGACAAGACATGGCAAGTGCAATGCTCTAGCCGCAGCTTCCCAACTGTCCCGATGCTTGAAGCGAGCAAAATTGTCCAGACGATGTTGTCCACCTGCTGCTGCGTCTGCCAGGATTAGGTCGCCCAATAGGCTGCCACTCCAAAGCTCGTCTAAACCCACTTTGCATTAGGTAAGTTGGCAACATGCCTCGCAAAGTTACAATAGGAAAGGGATGCAAGCAAAGTTCTCCCCGCGTTGGGCAGGGCTTTCATGTTCCACTGGTGTAAATTATGTTGTGCCAAGGCACGTGCCATGGGATACTCGAAGGAGGAGGTTCAGACCGCTCTCGCACAGCTGCAACGTGTCCAAGCGAATCCTGTTCTCTCATCCAAAGGCTACAAGTCAACCAGCGATAACCGGCGTGATTACGAAAGAAAGGCAAACATGCAAGGGCCTTCACTAGGTTCTAGATGAACCAGCTGTCGACATTCTTGGATCTGGACAGCCTTTTGGACGAGGCAAAGCAAAGGAACCACGATGTCCACCACGAGAGCAACATCCTTCCGTCAACACCGAATGAGTTTGCACAGCCCTGAGGTGCACATGAACTGCGAGCGAATCCTCCCCTGCAAGGCCATGTGTCATTCTGCAGAGCATTCGGTGGCTTGCTTCAGAAGTGGAATTCGACTGGCCATTTCGCCGCAGAAGCCAGAGAGGATCAGGGAGGGGGAGCTTCTACAATGCAAACACCGGAGCTGCTGAGCCCTTGGCGCCCATGTTAACAACGAACAGGCAGTAAGTCTCTCAGCATGCGCGCATGCCAGCACTGATTTGCGGTGCACATGGCCAACGAAGAAGTCTTGCTGTAAAAGCGTTTCAGCATTTGACAGGCCTAATGGTCATCTAGCTATCCATGATAGCTCAGGCCAAGCAGCGCGGACGATTCGATCGCCAGCGTGAGCTGCAGCTGCAGCTATAGTCAGCTATAGCAGCCACTCAAATCACCAGTTGGAAGCTATCCGGGCGCGAAACACGAACTGCAGTCAACTCAGCAGTGGATTCGGCACAGGATGCCACTGAACACAAAAACATGCACCTACCAGTCACGACAGCTCCCGAGCGGCAGTGACCGCATCTCAAATGCTCTTCCTCTTCAATCCCTGAGTGCTGTCGCGGCTGTTCGACCTAGAATCGGGCAGCTTGGCTGGAGCAGTAATCTGCGCTTGTGGTTTAACCAGAAGCCGATTTGCAAGCAGCCAGCCCCCGATAGAATTGTGACAACCTGGCCGGACGATAAATTGTGATTACATACAGATGTACCTTCTGTTTCTTCACTTCTTCCTTCAAACTAATTTGCAGGTGAGCCGTAGCTGCCTAAAATCACTAAAGTTACTAAAGCTCGTGTCCCAGCCCTTCTGCAGCTGGGAACTATCCAGTGAAATTGAAGCACGAAACGCACACTGCCAGAAGTCTCAACGCAGCAGTGGATTTGGCACAGGCTGTCACGGAACACAAAAAATGTACTCGACTGCTTGCAAGTAGCAGTGATCGCACTGGGGTGGAGCGGGGTGGAGCAAGCTTCCCCTTCAATCCCTCTGTCCGTATGCGATCGGATTGTCATTGCTGAAGAGGAAGTGCCCTGTGCAGCAGCAAATGGACCTTCTGCTTGCATCACTTTCGGTCTTCAAATCCGCGAAGACCCCAGGCCCAGGGCGCTTGCTCAGGGAACTCCTTGTCCGTTGTGGTACCATCTGTGATCCTTTCTTTTGTGGAAGCTATGGACTCCTGTAGACCTCCCGACAAGCCTCCCTCTACCCCGTTTGGCCCTTTGCTATGGACCTCCTTTTGAACCCTGTATTAGTCACTCCGGGGTTTACAGCCCTATGGACTCCTGTCAGTTTCTGTTCTCCCAAACTCTCTCTGTGTCCCTCTCTGCCCTCTTTGTGCCACCCTTCCTCCCTCTGTGTGCCTCTCTGCCTCCCTCTCTGTATCCCTCTCTGCCTCTTTGTCACACCCCTCCCTCCCTCTCTGCCTCCCTCTCTGTGTCCCCTCTCTGCCCTCTTTGTCCCACCCCTCCCTCCCTCTCTGCCGTTTTTGTCCTACCCCTCCCGCTCTCTCTTTCTGTCCCTCTCTCAGTGTCACCCTCAGTCCTTCCCTCTCTGTCTCTGTCCCTCGAACAATTCCGGAAGTCAGCTCCTGAAGTGCTCTCCTGGACATGTGAACATGTGTCATGGACATCTAACAAAGAGCCCTCGAAGTGCTCAAATGAACATGCGAGATCAGTCGAATGAAAAGAGTCTAGACTCTACAGCTCTCACCCAAGAAATGCAGCATGCTCGTGCGAAAGCCCGGAAGAAGAGGTAGCGGACGGGCATATCACAAGTTTTTTGGCTGAACGCGCTAAAGCGACGAGGGTGCCATGGATCCAATCGGGTGTGAGCAAAACTGCTTTGAATCAGTGACGGCAAGAGAGAGATAGAGAGAGAGCGGCCCCTGTGAATCTACCGACCCACCTCTGCCCCTTTGCTACGGATCTCCTCTGAACTCTGCATGGACCACGTTGCACGCTGGGAAAAAAACTGCATCCGCCGCGCCTGCAGGCCGGCCGAGGCGGGCCGCGTCAGCGCGAATATTAAATACCAGTGTGAGCCGCAGCTGCGGCTACACCAGGGATGCTGCTGCTGCACAACAAAATTGCATGCAACCTAATTACCACCCCCAACTGGCAGAGATCCAATCTGAACTGCCCTGGTTTCAAGCGGAGCAAGCTCTTCCTGTTCAAGCTCTCTCAGTGCTGTCACGGCTCTTCGTTCTAGAAACGGGCAACTTGGCCCGTTGCCGTAATCTGAGCTATCCTCCTGGTGTAATCAACTACAAGCATTTCCAGTATGCATGCAGCCAGCCCTCCGATAGAGTTGCGATTGCATACTATTGTTAAGCACGTCGATGTTCATGGCTGAACATGAAGGGCCCTGTGTAGCGAATGGATCGTCTGTTTGGGTCACTTTCTTCCTGCAAACTAATTACCAGGGCCCGCTGTATTCTGCCCCATGTTCAGTTCGTTGAGCTTCTTCTGCACCTGCACAAGACACGCTCTTCGGTAACAACAGCCGTCGCCACAGCAAGCATCAAGCAATCCAGCCTTGTTGAAATCATCTTGCAACATGCTCAAGCTTTTATTTCCGGGCTGCGATTCCCAATGATGCGGACGGACAGTGCCCTGCTCTGCATCCCAGCGCCCGGTCACATAGACATTGCCCGTTACCGCCTCTTCTTGCACTCTCAGGTACAGAGTGCCTTCGAAGCCACCCGGGTTTTCCACCTTCACATCCGTATCCGCAACATAATCATCGTGGTTGATCCTCCAAACGCTAACATTCCGAAACTCGCGGTCATGGGCCTCCATGATCATTTGCTGTTCGTCGATGTGCACAATGGGCCGGTAGGGCGTCAATGGGTTGGTGAGGAGGTGCGTCTTGTCGATAAATGACAGCACCCTGGCATTCTCAGTATTGCCATTAGTATTGCCATTGCCACCGTTGATCTTTTTTCCCGACTTCTCGTCCTTGGTCAGGAATAGCTGCAAAATGTTCTGATTGTTCTGACTCTCTGTGAGCCGGTACTTCGCATGGTCCGCTGCTGACTTCCAAACCCCGTCACCGTTCAGGTGGTACGTGTGATTGCACTCAAAGTTGTCGGTCAGCTCAACTGTGGGGTTGGTCATGAGTTTGGCTTCGATGTTCTGGCAATATGTCTTCCAAAGCTCTGTGGCTTCGACTTGATTGGCCTCGAAACGCGGAACAGGAAATGTGGCCATGGACATGTAAGAGCCCACAATCACATGCACCCCATGGCCTTTGGTTTTAATTTTCCTTTCACCAGATCTCCGTCTCGTCGATCCTCCACGTCGACCAAGTCGAAATCCAGCACTTCAAGGATGCCTTCCAGAAGCGCCTCATGACTCTCAGCTTTCCTTAGAAACAAACACGCAGCACATCGCAGCTCATACAAATCGGAACCTTAAGCAACTCAACAAATTGCAGCCCAAGCGTCTGCTTGGCGTCGGAGTGCGGTTTGTTCTCCCGCACCTCCCGCAAGAAGATCAGGGTTCGAAGCAAGCAATGATTGTCGGCATGGTCGATGGTGTCCCCAATGGCTGTCGGGTATGCGTGGAAGCTTTGGTCGCGCCAATTGGTCTTCACTACGAAATCGCCACCTTCGCCCAGATCCTGCTTGAACCCAGCATTTGCCATAATATTGACACCATCCCCATACTCGAGGCCTTGTAACCAAATCTTCGCTGCCATCTCTTCCGCCTTATCGTCGTCGATCTCTCGCAAAGCCTCACATGCCACGTCCATCATCTCATCGTCCATCTCATCGCCTATCTGTGGGTCACAATCCACCGATTGCATTTTGGACTGCCTTGCGGTGTTGCGGACTAAGAGGCTCTGCATTGTGGACTGCCTTTTGGCAGCCTGGAGGCTCTGGATCTTTCTGGCGATGGCATCAATCGCTTGTGAATCTTCGACGAAGCGGCGGTCTCGCCTGCGCACCTGCTGGAGACTCGTTCAATTTGCTTGCGCTGTGACGTTGTTATGTACAAAGCTCCGGTACCTACATGAACATAGTGCCATTTGTGCAGGGGATGTGGGAAAGTTGTAACCGTCAGAAGAAAAAGGGGTTTGACACCACGAACAACCCACTCTACTCCTTTAACATGCCGCTGTACGATGTAGCTCTGTGTGTGTGTATGTCTGTGAGTGACTGTGCTGGCGTACTTTTTGCGAAAAGCAACTTTTCTGGTCGGTTTTCCCGCTAACCTGGAAGACGCACCGTGTGACAGCTTAGGTGAGCCTAAACCCTGAGCCCCTTGTACGTGACGCAAGATTCGATAGACGCTGATGAATGAGATCCAACCAGCTCTGGAACGCCAAAAAGCTCGAAGCATCGAGCTTCCTGCAATCGAAGCACAAGTACTCCAAGTGCCCAAGTTAATTTCCTGGACCCGCAAGCTTAAGCTGAGCCTTAGGCTATTAGGGGGCGCGAGAACCATTCATCACACTAAACGAGGGTTCCAGACGAAGCTCATATGCATACATGCTGCAGCCCTGCATTTGGCCTCGAGCTCCTCTGGGTCCTCTTCCTCGAGCCTTGGCCACACTTTGACTTTCATTCCGCGTTCGGCGCACCACACTGCCCCACATTCGAGGCACTGCCCTGCCGCCCTACGACGACCTGCGACTCAACTAGCGCTTCGCACCCATTTCAACCGAGGCGCCCTTCGCAGACCCTTTGCAAGCTCTCCTGCAGCGCCTGGCAGCTTAATCGTTGTCTCACGCAGAACGTTCAAGATGTGTCCTCTCTACATCTGTCTACTGTTTGTGCCTCGGGACTTGGTAGCGGGCGTTGCCTGTTTAAGTGCCGCCAAGGCTGTTCCTAGGTGCCCACAAACAGCTCCATGCCCTTGACCCGAACCGCCACTTCAAAGCCCCGGCAGACACAGGCGGAAACAAGACGCAGCCCGAGGGCGCTCAAGGCAGAACGCGTCTGAGCTAGAGTGGGAACCGGAGGCTCATCCAAGAATGTCCAAGGTAGCCGAAGAGTATACCTAAAGCGCCAGACAACGCGGGCCGATTCACCATCACGTAAACTTCGCATAACTTCGCTAGGCCTGACACCAAGACACCAGCGAAAAATGCAACATCGCAAGTCAACGGCTGCCTAAACCCTGAGCCCCTTGTACGTGACGCAAGATTCAATAGACGCTGATGAATGAGATCCAACCAGCTCTGGAACGCCAAAAAGCTCGAAGCATCGAGCTTCCTGCAATCGAAGCACAAGCACTCCAAGTGCCCAAGTTAATTTCCTGGACCCGCAAGCTTAAGCTGAGCCTTAGGCTATTAGGGGGCGCGAGAACCATTCATCGCACTAAACGAGGGTTCCAGACGAGGCTCATATGCATACATGCTGCAACCCGGCATTTGGCCTCGAGCTCCTCTGGGTCCTCTTCCTCGAGCCTTGGCCACACTTTGACTTTCATTCCGCGTTCGGCGCACCACACTGCCCCACATTCGAGGCACTGCCCTGCCGCCCTACGACGACCTGCGACTCAACTAGCGCTTCGCACCCATTTCAACCGAGGCGCCCTTCGCAGACCCTTTGCAAGCTCTCCTGCAGCGCCTGGCAGCTTAATCGTTGTCTCACACGCAGAACGTTCAAGATGTGTCCTGTCTACATCTGTCTACTGTTTTTGCCTCGGGACTTGGTAGCGGGCGTTGCCTGTTTAAATGCCGCCAAGGCTGTTCCTAGGTGCCCACAAACAGCTCCACGCCCTTGACCCGAATCGCCACTTCAAAGCCCCGGCAGACACAGGCGGAAACAAGACGCAGCCCAAGGGCGCTCAAGGCAGAACGCGTCTGAGCTAGAGTGGGAACCGGAGGCTCATCCAAGAATGTCCAAGGTAGCCGAAGAGTATACCTAAAGCGCCAGACAACGCGGGCCGATTCACCATCACGTAAACTTCGCATAACTTCGCTAGGCCTGACACCAAGACACCAGGGAAAAATGCAACATCGCAAGTCAACGGCTGCCTAAACCCTGAGCCCCTTGTACGTGACGCAAGATTCAATGACTCTGATGAATGAGATCCAACCAGCTCTGGAACGCCAAAAAGCTCGAAGCATCGAGCTTCCTGCAATCGAAGCACAAGTACTCCAAGTGCCCAAGTTAATTTCCTGGACCCGCAAGCTTAAGCTGAGCCTTAGGCTATTAGGGGGCGCGAGAACCATTCATCGCACTAAACGATACATGCTGCAACCCTGCATTTGGCCTCGAGCTCCTCTGGGTCCTCTTCCTCGAGCCTTGGCCACACTTTGACTTTCATTCCGCGTTCGGCGCACCACACTGCCCCACATTCGAGGCACTGCCCTGCCGCCCTACGACGACCTGCGACTCAACTAGCGCTTCGCACCCATTTCAACCGAGGCGCCCTTCGCAGACCCTTTGCAAGCTCTCCTGCAGCGCCTGGCAGATTAATCGTTGTCTCACGCAGAACGTTTAAGATGTGTCCTGTCTACATCTGTCTACTGTTTTGCCTCGGGACTTGGTAGCGGGCGTTGCCTGTTTAAATGCCGCCAAGGCTGTTCCTAGGTGCCCACAAACAGCTCCATGCCCTTGACCCGAATCGCCACTTCAAAGCCCCGGCAGACACAGGCGGAAACAAGACGCAGCCCAAGGGCGCTCAAGGCAGAACGCGTCTGAGCTAGAGTGGGAACCGGAGGCTCATCCAAGAATGTCCAAGGTAGCCGAAGAGTATACCTAAAGCGCCAGACAACGCGGGCCGATTCACCATCACGTAAACTTCGCATAACTTCGCTAGGCCTGACACCAAGACACCAGGGAAAAATGCAACATCGCAAGTCAACGGCTGCCTAAACCCTGAGCCCCTTGTACGTGACGCAAGATTCAATAGACGCTGATGAATGAGATCCAACCAGCTCTGGAACGCCAAAAAGCTCGAAGCATCGAGCTTCCTGCAATCGAAGCACAAGTACTCCAAGTGCCCAAGTTAATTTCCTGGACCCGCAAGCTTAAGCTGAGCCTTAGGCTATTAGGGGGCGCGAGAACCATTCATCGCACTAAACGATACATGCTGCAACCCTGCATTTGGCCTCGAGCTCCTCTGGGTCCTCTTCCTCGAGCCTTGGCCACACTTTGACTTTCATTCCGCGTTCGGCGCACCACACTGCCCCACATTCGAGGCACTGCCCTGCCGCCCTACGACGACCTGCGACTCAACTAGCGCTTCGCACCCATTTCAACCGAGGCGCCCTTCGCAGACCCTTTGCAAGCTCTCCTGCAGCGCCTGGCAGCTTAATCGTTGTCTCACGCAGAACGTTTAAGATGTGTCCTGTCTACATCTGTCTACTGTTTTGCTTCGGGACTTGGTAGCGGGCGTTGCCTGTTTAAATGCCGCCAAGGCTGTTCCTAGGTGCCCACAAACAGCTCCACGCCCTTGACCCGAATCGCCACTTCAAAGCCCCGGCAGACACAGGCGGAAACAAGACGCAGCCCAAGGGCGCTCAAGGCAGAACGCGTCTGAGCTAGAGTGGGAACCGGAGGCTCATCCAAGAATGTCCAAGGTAGCCGAAGAGTATACCTAAAGCGCCAGACAACGCGGGCCGATTCACCATCCAACGCTAGCAGCGGCGCACAGCTCAAGATCCAGAACGCTCAGTGTTTACAACCCCACGAGGAGCCATGCCTGCAACTGGTCCCAAGGGCAATGTGATGCTAACCGAATCAGTGGAGCTACCTCTGCAAAGGATGGGATGGATGGACAGATGGAAGGAAAGAGTTTTCGCACCGTGCTGTGCTGTGCACAAGCACCTGACTCTACACATAAACTATAGACATGTACAAACAAAGTATCCCAAGCAGAAAACAACTCGGTTGGTGTTGGTGTTGGTGTTGCTGTTGCTGTCGCGCTGTCGTTGCTGTTGCTGTTGCTGTTGCTGCTGCTGCTGCTGCTGCTGCTGCTGCTGTTGCTGTTGCTGTTGTTGTTGTTGTTGGTGGTGGTGGTGGCGGTGGTGGCGGCTGTGGCAGTGGCGGCGGTAGTGAGGTGGTGCCGCTGCTGTCATTCTCGTTGCGGTTGTTTTTTTTGTTGATGCTTTGCTGCTGCTGCTGCTGCTGCTCTCGTCGTCGTCGTCGTCATAGTTGTTGCTGTCTTTTCCTTTCTGTTATTCTTCTTGTTCTGTGCTTCTCGTTCCTGGTCTCCCAAGCCTCCCCCCTCTGAGGATCCAAAACGTTAATAATTTTAATAATGCCTCCGAAGACTAGTTTCACGGGATATGAAGTAAGCGGTCTTTCAGAAGGCTTCGATTCTAAAGGTCTGAGAAGGGGGATGAGAATGCATTTGCACGAGGGATGAGCGATATCCTTTGTGTTTCCTTCATATGATGGGCATCTTACATGACAAGCAGATTCATCGCAGTGCTGTGGTTTCCATAATTTAAAGGTGTGACAGAACAGAACCGTATGGAATTGTATCAAGGGCGTAGGCTATCCTGGATTTCAGCGGCCAAACTAGGAGACCCAAGATGTGATGGAAATTTGCTGGGTTGCCATGTTTTCCGTGTTAGAAACTATGCAAAACGTCTTCAAAGCATGATTCGGGGATTTCCTGGATGTCATCGAAGTGTTTTCTTGTTATGATTTCCCTCAACCCTTTTTCGTCAACCCTAAACCTCCTAAACACTAACGACCTCAGTCCATCAACCCCTTGCCCTAAACTCTCAACCGTATAGTGCTGCATAGGTACAATTTGGCACACATGAGATAACCATACACCACCCTTTTTTTCTAAAGCTTTTTGGCTGAAAAGAGGTTCATATGCAGGGGGATTTTTATACTTGTGTTGCCCGAGATGTCATCGCAGGTACAGTAGCAGCCTTCT